CCCTCCTCTCTGCCCTCCCCGCCAGCGCCCTGCCTCAGTTTCCCGTGCTCGTTCACAGACCTGAAGTCGGGGATGCCGGAGGCGGTGCTGATGCCGGCGCCCGTGTGGAAAACCACGCTGGAGGCCTGCAGCATCAGCCGGGCCAGCTCCCCCACCTTCCGCTCCAGCTCCTCCGGGGGGTCGAAGATCTGTGGGGACGGGGGCACAGCTGGGCTCAGGGACGGACCCCACCGCACCGCACCCACCCCGCCCGCGGGGTCCTCCTTCCAGGAAAGTCCTTCCCGCTGTCTACACTCCGTGTTTCGTGCTGTCCCCACAATGCCCCACTCGTCCGGGCCCCCGTCTGGCGACCGGGACACCGTGGCCTCACCTCCGGCAGCCCGCACTTGCCCTTATCCGCATACGGCGACAGCCCGGCTGCGTAATTCACCGACATCGTCGCCAACAGCGCAGACGGGAACAATAAAGTTTCCCTTGTTGAGGCCGCTTCCGCCGGAAATGGGGAAGGGACCGCCGGGGTGGGAGCGTTAGAGGCGGAGGAGGTGTTTCCCCCCGGAGCGCGCGCGCCGCACTGACGCCGCGGGCGCCATCTTTAGTGCTGGCAGAGACTTGCGGGCTGCCTCGCGAGCCTTCCCTTCTCGTCCCCGGCGCGCTCGCAGGAACCGAGTCCCAGCCCAGCCTGGCTGTGCAATGAGACCCTGTTTCAGAAAAGCGACAAAACCAGCAACAAAAACCATTAAAAACAACCCCCGGAACTCTCACTCCGTGGGTAGAGCTCACCCCTCGTGCATACAGCCGCGGCGGGAGTTCGAAGCCCGTCTAGAGGTCGTGAGACCCTGGGCGGCCTTTGGGTCTCTGCTGTGCGGCTGTCAGCCCGTGTCTGCCCCTTTCTGAGCCACAGGATAGAATGAATGGGAACTTGGGGTTCACAGGCACCCCCTCCCCCGGGCGCCCTGCCAGCATGTTCTCAGCTTTGTTTCTGGGGATAGCACAGAGCATCACGGTCAGGTCCCCACGTTACACAGAGGGGCCCGGAGACGCAGAGAGAGATGGGGAAGGGGATACTGGGTCAGAAGCACCTCCTGTGATCCCCTCCTGTGGCAGTCCATCCTGACCCCTGTGCCTGCTGGTGGTCAGACGGGACCAGGCCACGGCGATGGGGGCAGCAGTCCTTGGGGCTGCCCACATGAGCAGGCTGGCCAACAGCAGTCCTCCCTCTCTGGGCTCATCCCGTCCCCCTGGGCGGATGCCCCCCCTTCCTGATCAGGTGTCACCCCGACTCTGCTGCTGGCAGCTCGCACTTGGAGCGGGTAACCAGAGAGGCTGTGGTGCACGCAGTGCTCTGGCCTAGAGACGCCTCAGGTAGGGGGATGAGACTGTGAGAGGCCAGGGAAGACGCTGCTCTGGGTCCCAAGGAAGGGGATACTGTGTCAGGGGGTTGGGGAGGGGGCTGCTTGCGACACCCGAACACATACATGCACCTGCACACTCGTGACAGGTACACGGGACCCACCCGACATGCGCGGACCTCGCTCAATGTGCGGCCTCCTCCCTGAACCATTGTGGGAACCCACAGGTCAGCGGACCTGTGCTGCCCCACCTCTTCCAGGAGGGAGACCCCTAAATTCACAGGCCTTACCCACACGATTCCATCCTGACTGCCAACCTGAGTTTCCTGTTACCCTTGGGTGTGATTGAACTTTATAATTGGGGGTGAGAATGAGCTGTACACTGAGCTGTAGAGGAGAAAGGAAGGATGGACAGGTGGGTGGATGAATGGATGGATGGATGGATGAGTGGATGGATGGATGGATGGATGGATGGGGTGGATGGGTGGGTGGGTGGGTGGGG